CACACACACACACACACGAACTGGCTTCACCCTGCTTCAAAATAATCTTTCTTTCATCACACCTTCTAGACAAAATATTATGACAATAGATATTGAGGCTTTCATGTTCTCACAAAGCAGACAAAATTTACTAATAAATGCTTTAGCATAATGAAAGAGTATATAAATATTGTTGAACCATGAAATGTTCTCGATATGGCAGTGCTGTTTTTTCATGTCACAATGGTCAGATTTGTTGTTGCATGACATTGTCTCTGTATGACAGTGTCGGGGTTATTTTTTTTGGGACAGTATAAATATTGGTTTGTTGTTCCATGAAATGTTCTCTATATAAGAATCTTAAAGGGATAGTCCACCCAAAAATGAAAATTCTGTCATTAATTACACACTCTCATGTCGTTCCAAAGCCGTAAGACCCCCGTTCATTTTCGGAACACAAATTAAGATATTTTTGATGAATTCTGAGAGCTCTCTGACCCTCCCATAGACAGCAATGTAATTACCACGATCAAGGTGCAGATACGTAGCAAGGAGATCGGTAAAATAATCCATGTGACATCAGGGGTTCAACCGTAATATTACGAAGCTACGAGAATACATTTTGTATTACGTTATTTGTTTACAACAAATAACGACTTTATTCAACAATTTGTCTGCTCCACGTCACCCTGGTGCCATTTTGGAGAGTATCCACTGAACGCAAACTGCGTATGCTATTCTGTGTCAGCTGCGTCATGCAGATACATTGTTTTAGTTCAAATCAAAGCGTAGACATCGTATCCGCTTGACGCTTGATTTATAAGCAATTTTTTGAGGCCGGGTCATTTTTGACCGGAAACACCACAAGTGTGACTTTGTGCCATTTTGTACAAAATAAAAGTCTTTCAAAACAAACTCCCTGATTAAACATTAAAGTACACTAGTGTGATAAACAGTCCACATTTTCTTCAGTTTTTATTTAATGTGTTTTCATTTTCTGTTTTTGTGAAAACTTGTATCTGTACTGTAAATTATACTTTTTACAGTAATTTTACGGTTTAATATGGTACTATAGACATTGCCCTACCCCGCTCATATGGTATTAATTTTATTTGTGCAGGTCTTAAAAAAAGGTCTTAGTCTTAATTTTTTGCTTAAAAATCCTGCAGAAACCCTAAATGAGAACCACTAAAGTTATTGTATTTTTTACTTTGATTTTGTCAATGGAAAAAAGAAAGAAAACTGAAATGCATAGAAAGCCCATTCCACATTTTTCAGTTGGAGCAAATGGAGATCTTCCTCTTGTGGTTTAGTTTGAATGTGTGGTTTGTTTGCAGGACTCTGCTGTGAAAAGACCGCAGAGGTCATTTGGCAGGTCAGAAAGGAAAATGCTAGTTATAACTCACCAAACCTCATTTCTAACCCAGAGATATGTGAAACTACAATATCAGACTTAAAATGTGGTCAGTACTGAACAATGAAAATCTCTTAGGCTACGTATTTCCTCTCGGGAACTAAGAGGCTATCTGATTCAATTTTACAAGCAAACATTTCATTATTTGAATCTGGGATTAATTCCCTGAGTTAATTTCTCCCAGCGGTAAATGGCAGCAGTTTCTCTGTGTAGATTTTTGTCAGAAGCTTTTGTCTGCTTTGTTTATGTCTCATTCTTTTGGATGCACATTACACTTGATGATGCATCCTAATTCACATGCTACCCTTACTATAATTGACTAATCATTCTTTAAAAAGCCCTGTATAATTTGGGGTTTGGGCTTCACCTTCAGTTGATCAGAAGCATTTCTTAGGGGTTGTGTATGTAAGACTTGAACAGCTTGACAACAAAAACAAAAGAAGATATTTTGAAGAATATTGTTAACCAAACAGCTGACGGTACCCACTGACTTCTATCGTATGAAAAAAATTAGCAGACACAGTAGTTTAGAGAGATTAATAATTTGACAAAATAAATAAAGACACATGTTGTTTGAACATCAGTAACCAAAAGGGGGTGGAGCTATCAAACGGTCATTGTGCATAGTAAACGTATGCAAATTGTGCTGCAGCCTTCATTTGCAAACTTGCAGTATGACATTATTTCTTGAAACACTTTAACTTTACTGAAGAGGCTTTGCCCAGTCAACACGGGAGTCTAATCTAAGAGTTAAGTGTTTTAAATCTTGCTTCTGGTTACAGAAAGTTTCATTGTTGCTTCGCTGGTTCTTCTAGTTATGCAGTAATTTTGGCCATTGTGTTGGTTAATATAAAGAGACATTATTTTCATTTGGCTTTAATGAATTGGTTTAGGTTCACACCTGATGAGTATATTTGTTCAAATGTTTCAGTGTGTGTTTAGCAGTGGTCTGGTTTCCTCTTCACCACTGCTTATTTTTCCAACTTTAAAATATAGCCTAGTAAAGCCTACTGCCACTTAAAACTCCATGCGTTCGCCTAAATATGAGCTACTGATAATGAAATCTGCTCAAACACAGTTTTATCCAGGCCGGTTTCAGAATTAAATAATTAGGGTGCTTCAGAAATTAGAAAGTGTGCTCGAACATTTTTTGTCCCATCCATTGCTCTTTCGAGTGTGAATCCCGCATTAATATGGAGGATTTCATTTTCAATTTTGAGCGTGTATATGGCTGAAAACTAATGTTTTATACAAATTCTGAATGGATTATATATATCCTAGAAGCACACACAGAGCACTCCCTTTATAATCATTAAAAAGCTGTCACTTGGATCACAACACTCGGATCAGTTTTACTCAAGTTAATGGTAAATATCTGCTTTATTACAGTGTGCGTTAGGACTGGATAATAAGACTTAACTTAATTTTTTAAACCTTTGATTTACAGACGCACCGATCGATTGGCCAGGCTTCGGAATCGGCCGATTTTCCTCATGATCGGCCGCGATCCGTTTTGTTACCAGCGGCACAGGCAATAACTTCAGCCGTGCGTTCTTGCTCTCTTCTCTCCGACAACCCCTTCTCTTTCACACACATCTCATTCGCTCTGGTTAAATGCTTGTTGTGCATTATTTTAGTCATTATTTTAGACCAGGTGTAAATGCCCTCCGAAACGCATTCGAGACGGATATAAATCCGATCGCTCAAACCACTTCAGGAGACGTGAAACCATGACAATGATCCCAAACACACCGCCCGGGCAACGAAGGAGTGGCTTCGTAAGAAGCATTTCAAGGTCCTGGAGTGGCCTAGCCAGGCTCCAGATCTCAACCCCATAGAAAATCTTTGGAGGGAGTTGAAAATCCGTGTTGCTCAGCGACAGCCCCAAAACATTACTGCTCTAGAGGAGATCTGCATGGAGGAATGGGCCAAAATACCAGCAACAGTGTGTGAAAACCTTGTGAAGACTTACAGAAAACGTTTGACCTCTGTCATTGCCAACAAAGGGTATATAACAAAGTATTGAGATGAAATTTTGTTATTGACCAAATACTTATTTTCCACCATAATTTACAAATAAATTCTTTAAAAATCCTACAATGTGATTTGCTGGATTTTTTTTTCTAAGTTTGTCTCTCATAGTTGAGGTATACCTATGATGAAAATTACAGGCCTCTCTCATCTTTTTAAGTGGGAGAACTTGCACAATTGGTGGCTGACTAAATACTTTTTTTCCCCACTGTATGTAAATTTTATTCCTCCCAAAATGAGAAAATAAACGTGAGAGCGTGTTATAGGCTATATGACATTAGTCAGACTGCACTAATGCAACACGCATCGCTGCGGACGAGTAGCGGAGTATCTCTTCAGCAAGCCGACGCGCAAACTGAAACTGTCATAAAACTGAAGGTAAGACGCAGACGGTCAACACACAATCATCTTCATTAAAAGTAGTAAGACAAACTTATTTTTCCAGTGCTAAACTTGAAATGAGCTGATAATTAATCAAATGCAGCGCTTATCTTTTGATTTCGTTGATGTGAACGCCATTAAATTCAAATATAGCACGGGAATTGAAGATCGGATTTATATCAGTTTTGCAACGACACATTTATGTGGCCAAGTGTAAATGGAAATGTTTTAAACCAGGGTAGACTTTGGTAAGCTGTGATGTCCAATAATGACATACTTTTCACTCTTTATCACTTAATTTTTTAAATGACTCAACTGCTGTTGTATGTAAGTATGTCTGTATATGTATGTATACTTTGCAGGCGACTTGTCAAAATAAAAGCTTGATGGTTGAACGTTTAAAAACTGAAGAAATTAAGACTTAAATATTAGTATTATAATTTTATGTGATGTAAAATTAATTTTTTTACCTTTTCAGAAGTTACGGAATTACAATATATGATTTAATATATTTTGTAATAGTAATCACAATAAATTCACTATTATTATTATGTTGTAGTTCTAATATGTTGTAGGATTGGTCAAAAACAGTGGGAATGTGCCCTCTAGGGCTGTCAAAAAAAATTAGAATTTCGAATATTCGTCAAAATTAAAATAAAAATACACATTTAAATGCAAAAACGTTGCGAATAGGTGTGCGTTAAGGAGGCAGCCTCATAAGTGGCGCACGAGATGCGATGATGTAAGTGTCATTGCATTTAAATTTTTTTGTTAGCCTATCCAGTTGAACCCACTAGATGCGGCACTGCTGCGTTAATGACAAATATTGCGGGAAAAGAGAACATCAATGCAGATAAGATCTTGTTTACATCAAAACTGAAACCAAGCCGATCACACAGAACACATATTTCGGTATATATATCACAGAAAAACTAAATATCGCAGTGGTTTTTTTTTTAAATATCATACAGCCTTACAAGAAAATCTGTTTCTTAAAAAACATTTTATTGTAATGTTCAAAACATCCAATCCTGACTGTTGAGCCCTGATCTTAGTAATGATGGTGATGGTAAATGAAGAGATTGTGTTTGACTTTTATCTGTACTCTCTGCAGACTTGTATTATGGGGGGGAGGCATTCTCAGTAGAGCAGCCTCAGTCATTTACTTGTCCTTACTGTGGTAAAATGGGCTACACGGAAACATCTCTACAGGAGCACGTGACCTCAGAGCATGCAGAGACCTCTACAGAGGTGGTGAGTACACATGCTGTCTTTGCTAAAATCATGTGTTTTAAAGGGGTCATATGATGCTATTTCAAATTTTCCTTTCTCTTTGGAGTGTTACAAGCTCTTGGTGCATAAAGAAGATCTGTAAAGTTGCAAAGACTAAAGTCTCAAATCCAAAGAGATATTCTTTATAAAAGTTAAGAGTCAACCACGCCTACCTAAAACGGCTCGTTCTAACACGCCCCCACATGTCTACGTCACGATGTGGGAAGAATTGCATAACGCCACCCAAATGTTCATGCAAAGAAAGAAGACGTAACTTTTATTCTCGCTGTAGTATTCCTGTCGCCGCCATGTCGTGAAGGCGCTGTGTGTTTCATTGTGAAAGCGAAACTACTTTGTTTGGCCTTTCAAAAGAGGACGATATCCGCTTTGTCATGCCTGGAGCTGATCCGTGCTGGTCGCTAATGAAATACATCAACTTCACGCTGTGGAATGCCGGATCGGCTTTCACCATGGAGTCCAGCCGGCCTCCGCTCACTCTAGCCCGCCGTGTGTGACGTGTGTTTCGTTGTGAAAGCGAAACTGCTTTGTTTGGCCTTCCAAAAGAGGACAATATCCGCTTCGTCATGCCTAGAGCTGATCCGTGCTGGTCGCTGAGGAAATACATCAACTTCGCGTAACATTTCCGTCACACGCTTGAGGTATTCAGCCAATCACAACGCACTGGATAGCTGGCCAATCAGAGCACACCTCACTTTTCAGACCGATGAGCTTTGTAAAAATCGACGTGTTTCAGAAAGGCGGGGCATAGAGGAGAAACAATAATGTACAGTATGTGGAAAATTTGTTTTTTGAACCTTAAACCACAAAAACACATTTCATTACACCAAATACACAAAATAATGTTCTTTTTAACAACATCATATGACCCCTTTAATCAGTCTCCTAACTAAACGGGATATGATAAAATTCCAGTGACAAGCAAAAAGCCTGTCCACACTAGATGCAACAAAATCAACCAAAAGAAGCATGTTTGCTGTTTTGCACTAGAATACATAAATCAATCAAAACTAAGCCATTTAAAAATTAAAACAATATACATATTTACTGATGCAATCTTTGTATAGAGTTCACAGCTTTGACTTGTAAAGTTTTATTTACTTTCAATATCTGAGATAAATAATCCATTGTCACTTTAATTGACTGTTAAAGTCATGCTCAACGATATTAAAATAAAAAAATAATAATACAATTAAATTAAATAATTTTAAGATTATACAAATCACAAATTTGAATGAGCACATCAACTGAAAACAGCATAAATCGATTCTTGGGATCAATGTCGGTTCATTAAAATACGAAAAGATTTAAATTGAAAAATCATTATTTTCAACCCAGCCCTATTGTAGAGCAATGTCAAGTTTTCTTAAGACCTTTATCATCAAAGTTTGATGTAGTATTTAAAATAATGCCTGTTCACAGCAAACACAGATCATCTGCAGGAATTTACACCACAACTATTTACTAAGAAAGTGATGTGCATTTTCATCAACCACTGGGAGAAAAAGACAAATTCCTGAACTAGTCATTATGTGCTTTTAATGCAAAATGCACTTGCTTTAAAATGTTAAACATGTTCTTGCTCTCCTGGAATGGAAGATGGATAATATAATAGAGAGAAATAGGGATACATTACCGCAAAATAATGATAATAGTGGTCTTCTGTTCTGGTAGTAGTAATAATAATCTGCAATTGCTTTTTATATCACATCTTTTGACTCTTCTTGCTGCTATGACTTTACACTCTTTGTCTTTCAATTATAAGAATATCAACAGCTCCTCATCTGTCAGGTTTGCTGTTTACAGACACATGACCACAAAGATTTGGTTTTCCTGTGTTATTACTATTATTTACTACTATTATGAGTGAATTCATGAAATACCATTTATGCACTACAGCTCAACCATGTTCTGTTACTTTGTACCTTTAAATATTAGTTTTAATTGTAATGAAAATAATGCAACCATGAATAAGCATGTCCATCCAATGTGAGGTTACATTAATTCATTATTAATGTATATCTATTCTCTGTTTCAGATTTGCCCAATCTGTGCAGCTTTGCCTGGTGGCGACCCCAATCATGTGACAGATGACTTTGCTGCTCATCTCACACTTGAACACAGAGCACCTAGAGATTTAATATCCTTTTATCTTAACCTAATGTGTATATGTCCGAGTATACGTATAATGGACTTCTTTCATAAAACCCTTCTATTCAGTGTTCAATTTATTCTTTATGTAAAAACGATTTTTCAGTTTACACACATTGGTTTTGCTCATGTATAATGACTGAGGCCTGTGTGTTCAAGTCACTTCAGAGATCACCTCACAAAGGTTTATTGAGGTTTTGTATCCGTACATCTTTAAGAAATGTAAAGATTCTTCTCACAGATCTTAAAATTCTGCTATTTATGCATGTCACTGCAAACCTTTGTTTTTACTTCTGTGTATTACAAAAAAATATTTCAAAGAGTAGTTATGGTTGCTCTTTTCAGTGCAATTACAATGAATGGGGGAAGCTTCCAAAAGAATGTCAAAGTCTGATTCATAAATATAAATTATTTTGAATTGGATCTTTACAAAACCATTCTGAATGATTTGTTCACAAACTGGGCTGATTTGCACATCAAGCTTCAGTTCACTCAACTTGATCTGGTTGCAGAGTTTAAAAGCTCACTGGAACTGAAGATTTTCATTGAATTTAAATCAGAATTTTAAATCATTATTATATTACTTCAATGGTGTCTTTGTGTCATATTTTAATCTTGAACAATTCAGTCACAGCTCATCATAAATCCATTAAAAATTGTGGCCAGTATAGTCAAAGTCCCTTTAAAGGGATAGCTCACCCAAAAATGAAAATGTGATGTTTATCTGCTTACCCCCAGGGCATCCAAGATGTAGGTGACTTTGTTTCTTCAGTAGAACACATTTGATGATTTTTAAGTCCAACTGTTGCAGTCTATCGGTCTTATGATGGATGGCAATGGTAACAAAATCTATGAGAGTAAAAAAAACATGCACAGACAAATCCAAATGAAACCCTGCGGCTCGTGACGACACATTGATGTCCTAAGACACGAAACGATCTGTTCGTGCCAGAAAGCGAACAGTATTTATATCATTTTTTACCTCTAATACACCACTATGTCCAACTGTCTTTGTGCGCGCGCACGGCTTCCGGTGCGTGAGGTGTGTACGTGCT